CTAGTTAAAAGGCAGCAGGTATTTTGTTTCTTGTGATTTCTTTCTGTAATTTTTTTTTTATTTATTTTGCATACCTTCTCTTCCAAAAAATCTCTATTTTTAAAAGTTTGTGTCTCATGGGCTGTCTTGCTCATCTGGTGAAAACATGAAGAAATAGCCTGCAAGAGCAGCAGAACTGGAACTGTAGAAGCTTCCATTGGTATATAAGTTAAGGCTGAAATGATGAGGCAGTTGCCATTGATTTTGATTAATTTTGATAGTTGTAAAATATAAGTGTTTGCATCAGCTTTTTAAAATTTTCATAAAGGTTTTAATCTATATTTTTGATTACTTTGAGAAAAAGCTCGTTAAAGAGCAATTGCCTAGCAGTGCAAACAAGAAGGCATTTCATTCGATCTTTTGGGCAATTTGGTGTTTTGGTATAGGTTGTTTAACCAGACTTTATTGAGATCTTTTGATAACATTGTCTGGTATAATAAGCTTGGTACAACATTTTTTCTTGCAACTTAAACTCTTGAGCTGGTTGTCATCATATTTTGCCTTCATTGTACCAGATTACTAAGGTCAGTCTTATCCTTCTCTCATCTAAATACTGATTGTTGTCACATTCTTGTCTGAAGTAAGTTCCTATATGGTTTTCATTCCTCTCTTGGGTCTCACTGGAACATGGAATGTTTTTATCTTTAGTTTTTGAGATGTCTTAGGTCTTACCTCTGCTTACTGTCTGTGAAATCTGTCCTTCAGGGCTGGTATGGTATCTGACATCTCACACAGAGTGTTGATTTTCATGAGCTCCATATTGACTTGTCCAAGACAGTCTGACCTATGAGTGCCTCACAAAACTGTCACTTATTTCTTAGAATTTAATTCTCCTTTTCTTTGTTCCACAGCAAACAGCCTCCCACCCATCCCAGGAAAAATAGTTCCATAGAACAAGGGTGGTGGGGAGAGGGAGCAAATCATTATGTTCCCCTCAATGAGACTTCTATCTACCATGATAACTGGTATTTCTTGCCATTTCCTTATAATCCTCATCAGTGTCTCTGTGTTTTGAGGTTTTGGCTGTCAATGGTTAGAGTTTTAGTTTTGGGACTGTATGGTTCTGGGTTTCTGCTAGGGCTGTTGTAGAAATCCTTTCCTACAAAATCATTAAGGCACTTTAGAACTAAAATTTTTGGGGTTTTTTTTTTTTTTTTTTTTTTTTCTGGAGAGTGTGTGAATCTCATTTCTGTATTGTAACAGAAGGGCTTCCCTGAGGTATGGAAGTAGGTTGTATGTGTGGAAAAATAGCTTGTCAGGCATCCCTTAGCTGAGGGGTGTAAATGATCAGAAATCGTCCACTCAGTGGTGAAGTCACCTGGAACATACAGGAAAAAAATTACAAGCAGACAAAACAAATGAGAGTGAAGGAAGGTGTAGCATATGAAAAGAGCTTTCACATGATTAGTGCTTCAAAGAAGAAAGTTATGAGTTGTGGCTCTGGTTACTAGGACAGGAGAAGAAATTGAATCCTAAGTGGTTTATATGATAGAAGCTGGCAATACCATGAGCATATATTTACAGGCGAGTTTTATTGTCTCCTTTTACTGCAAGACCTCTAAATTACTTTTTGTTCCTGGCTGATTTAGTTATATAATAAGTTTTGTTGGCATTCTTGTCAGCTCAGTGGAACAACCCTTTATTTGTGACCAGTTTAAATATGAAGTAAATTTAAGAGCAGAAAGGATTCTGAAGGCACAACTTAATTTCATCAAAATCAAGTTTTAATGAAGACATAAAAGCTAACTTACTTTTTTGGTTACTGTTATTTGTGCATTGCTGAGGTTGTTTAAACTTTCCCTCAACACTCCTACAAGATAAATTTTGCCTAATTCTGTAGGAAGTAAAAACCAGTTTTCTGAATATTTTTAATTTGAGAAAAACATCAAAATCAGACATATCATTTTTGAGAAAGAGGAAATTGAGACCTTCTAATGCTGTTAACTAATAATTCACCTTAATGATGCCAGTTAAGTCAAGAATGCTACTTGTTAGAGGAATACAGCTTAAATCAGGGAATCAGAGTTACATAAGAGGAGGAAGGTTTCATATGTGGAAAAGTAGCAGACAACTCTTTACTTATTTGTGGGGCCTTTTTTTGTTGGTTTTTTTTTTTTTTTTTAAATTGTGCAATTCTTTGTAATTTTTACCTGAGTTCAGTTTAATAATGCATTTCAAGCAGGAGACTCCAACAGAACAATGAATGTGTGACATTGTATGCCACTAATCTAAATAATACTTAAGATGTAAAGACAGTAGGATTTCTGAAAGAAGAGAGTATAATTTTATTTTGGTGTGTAACAGATTTTATGACCTGCTAAATGCAGCCTAACTCCCATTTATTTTTGTAGGTAGCTAGCTCCCCCTTTCTTTGTCTAGTTTGGAAGAGTCAGACTGTGTGCTGTTATAATGATTTTTTTGTTTGATATAGCTCTGTCTTTCTCAATTATCTTAATTTAAAAACATTAAGGAATAAAGCTCCAGAGCACTGTGAGAAGGAAAATATTTTTAAATCCAGAGAAACTATGGGTTCTCAGATACATCCCTTAAAAAACTAACTCTCAAGTTGCCTTGTAATGTGGTTTAAATGACATTAACTTTTTCTCCAGGGTGTTTGATTATTAGTATTGAAGAATGGGTGAAAAGTGCAGTGGAGAATATTAAGGTGCATATTACTACAAATCAATATTCACTTAAGTTCTTACCTTAGCATCCATGGTTGAGGAGTGCCCAGTGTTCATGCTGCAATGAACTAGATGCTCAGTTCAGTCCAGCAGAGTTCTTGCAGCTATACAGAGAAGCTTTTCCTCTGATGGGGGAGGAGAGGTTATATAATTAGTAGGCCTTTTTCAATTTGGTAAGATTCTAAATCACTTTTGTTAGGTATTTCAGGTTTCTAGATTACAGTAATGGGTAACTGAAAAGTAGAAAGACTTCTGTAATTCATCTGTTTTCAAACATGAGTTTTGTTGTTGTTTTTTATTTTAGTGTCAACTGTAGTTCTAGTGCTGTCTACATTGAGGCACAAGTCCATGCAAGAGGTCATATATGCATTCAAAATGTTACCTCTGTGTGACTCCAGCTATTAGATGGTTAAAGTGCTGTATGAAGAAATTTAGCATCAAATAGCACCTCACTCACTTAGAAGACATGCTGCAGGGACTAATCTTGGATCTTGGTGAAATAAAATGAATTTTTTAGCGGACCAGCAATCAAAGAGGAGGTTGGTCAATAAAATACTTTTGCAGTTGCCATGGCAGTGGGGCAATGAATGCCTCTGTGGTAACTCAAGTTAAATAAGGGCAGGCTCTAATGGAGAGAGGGGCCACACTGGAGCTGTATGGAATAGAACCAGACTGGAAAGGTGAACACCTGGTTAGCTCTTTACACTAAAAAACAAAATAAAATATTAAAATAAAGTTGGAAAACTGACTTCATGCTATAACACGATTAATTTTTGGAAGTGAACGCTCGGGAATTATCAAGGCCAAAAGCTTAAACCTTCAAAGAAGGACATGATCGGGTGTCTGGAAGGTTTCCTACTTCTCTGCTGCGGGAGAATTTTCCTCAGCTGTTGTGTATTGTGGTCAGACTTTTCTTCCTCTTCTTCCCATTTTTCTTGGGTGGTGTGGTTCTCCTGACAGATAAGACAATGAGGAGAAATTCAGGACAGTAATGTGTGACTTACCCCCCTTTCCCAGGATGTGCAGTGGCAATGAATAAGACATTAGCTGGGTATGTTCACTTAATGATCAGCCATTAGCAATTGGCTTCCAATGCCTCTGGTTGAGCTTAGAGTCAGCTCTCCCTGACAGGATAACTTTACAATACCCATTTTGGTGTTATCTTAAAATCAAGGAGGTCTCTGCAAACAAGTACTCTTTCTCTGTGTTCTGGTCTGTTCTATGAGGGTAGGTGGGAGGTGGGTGTTCTGGGCTTATTTCCTGTAGCTGATGTATAAGGCCACAAGAACTTCCTGGCAAGTACCAACTAAATTGAGTAAAACTTTGGTGCATGAAATACAAGGTGCTGTATGTAAGGGGTAATAAATATATCTTCATATACATATATATATGTGTATATATATATATGCACGCATGCATACATGTGTATCTATAAAATGGTAGTTGAGTTGTAAATGATACTATAAAAATGCAAGTTGCTAGCAAGGTGATTCAGCACATTTAACATTTTTCATCCATATCCATGAGTGCTTCTTTAAAATATTATTTTTGTAAATAATTCTGCGGGTTACTTGTGGAGAAGTTGGAGATAGAGAAATTTGAGGCAAGACAATGCTGGGGGAGATGGGATGGATGAGAAGGGGAGGAGGGTGTTGGTTTCCCAGTCCCATTGCATTGACTGCTTATGTTACAGTGGGCAGGTCTGTACCACTACTGGGCAACAGGAGCCTGCACAGAAATGTGGTTCATCAGCATTTTAATGGGGGCAGAGAAGAAACTAATAGAATTCCATGACTGATTATTAAAAATGCTTCCATTCAAAAGAGAAAAGCGCTTTGTTTTTACAGCGTGAAGAGTAAAGCCTTATATTCTTTCCAGTTTGAGGGGTTTTTTTTTCAAATTATACACTGAACTTACTGGAGATAAATCACTTGGAGGTGATGTTTCTATAATCCAGGCCTTTTTGTTAATTGTGTGTGCATTTATTGTTTGCCTTTGTACCTCTTCTCTTCTTTTGCCTTTCCATTACTGAAATTATTTCCCAGTTTGATGGAATTCCAATGTATTTGAATGTTTGGTTCAGTACAGCCATTTGTTTTGTTGCTTTTATATTAATTTTGGTATTCATAAAGTATGGCAATATTAATTTTTAAATATTTTAATGTTTTTCTATTTTTACTGTGGAAGTTTAAAATATATCTAGATTGTTCTCTTGTAAGTAACTACCTGAAATTTGAACTTTTTACAAAGTAACTGTTCTTGCTTATGTTTGTGTAGGGGAAAATGCAGCGTTGCACTTCTGAATGAGACAGAATCTGTGCTGTCATACCTGGAGAAAGAGGTAATTGTGATTTCTGTTCAAGTACATATTAGGATAAGTTTATTTTTCTTTCTGTATTTTTAACAAATGGGCAAGCAATACTTTGAAAATCACACCTTGGATGATATGTTAAAAAAAAATTACGTTTTTTTACACTGATTTAAACTGATTTAAACACTGATTTAAACAATATTATTTGGTAAAAATTTAATTGACACACTTAAATGATAGGTTTATTATGAATCTGTTTGTATTTAGAAAATTAATTTGAAATAATTAATATGACATCTTACAGTTGAAAATATAGAGATGTTTTCCTGTAGCGGATACTGAAGGAGGAAATCACATGGCGCTTTTTTTTCCTCCTTATTTTTTCCTTTTATCGTATGGAAAGTATCTCCTCGTCACCCTCTGGAAGATACTGAGGATGCTTAGCTTTACCAGAAAGGAACAAAATTCCCCAAGAATTTGAAAGATTGCAAAATACCTTTAAAATAAACATATTTTTCTTTGGAGTGTCTTAATATAACATCAGGAAGGCAATGTTTTCTAACTGAAATTAGCATGTCTTTATTTTTAAATTTCTACACCAAACCACTGATAGTCAGTAAAAATATTTTTAAAAGCAGGACTTTGCCTGTGCTTATGTGACTATACCACATTTGCCAATGCTGTTTTAGTGCCTGAGAAGGGTTTACAAAGAGTGTTTTATTTATTTTGAGATTAATTTATAATGGAAAGTCAGTATGGTTGAGATACTTATGAGTGCAAAGTTGTTAAATTCAGTAAGCATTTAACATCAATTCTCTTCAAATCCATTGATATATTTTTGTGTATGGATCTTTTCATTATTTCTCTGTTCTGAAGTAAGTCCTAACAATGACAGAAGTCTTATTTTTCCTTTTAAAAGCATTCATCAAGCATCTGTATTATATAGAATAAAGATTTATGTACCTAACCTGTGTTCTGTGAAGTATGCAAATTTCCAATTGGAAGATGTTACAAATTTGCAAACCTAATTTTAAAAATTATTATACTGTTGCAAACATGTCTCTTTTTTTTAGGATACCTTTTTTTATTCACTGGTGTATGATCCATCATTGAAAACACTTTTAGCAGACAAGGGAGAAATCAGAGTGGGGCCTAGATATCAAGCAGATGTGCCAGACATGCTTGTGGAAGGTAAATACTTGATCTCTGAGTAATGAAAAAAATAAAAGTTGTCATATTGCCTTATTGCTCATGCTGACTTTCTGAACTAAGCTAATGCACAGAGGCAGACAAAGTAAGATGGTAGGTCTGAGAAAATTTATGAACACCAGTAGATATTATGGAAAAAGAAAGGATACTTGAATAGCTGTTGAAAATATGTTAATTTCCAGTCTGTGCATAGGCATTTTATATTTGTTTATTTAATTATATGCTCTGGTTAGTTATTTAATATAGGCTGCATTGAGAAAAGATGTTAAGGACCAACCCATCTATAAAATATTGACACTGTAGTAAAACAAGTGGAAAAGATATTTCTTCTTTCCATTTAAAGCAGACAATGCATAGAGAATTCAGGTATTTGTGTCTTATTTCAAAATATTGCCTTTTTTAAAGCATCTTTTCTCTTTTGTAGCAGGATTGAAACAACTCTTTCTTGCCTTGGCATAGCTTTAAAATCACTGATGTTTTTTAAATTTTATTTTATTTATTTATAACCCAGCACAACTACCTATGCCTCTTTTACTACATAGAACTATTATTTGATTTAAATGTCAAGTAAAATAATTATTTATGATTTGGATCATATTTAAGAAGCATGAGTAACTGTGTCTTGTCATGTTTACAACCATATTTGCTAATTAAATTTTAAAAAAAGAAAAATGTTTCTTTGGAATTATCTAGATTTAGATACTGTTTTCAAGAGTCATGGTATTTCTTCTTTAAAAAGAAAGGATTATGTGAGAAGAGCATGACTTGCAGTAAGTCCAAGGAGTTCTGGATGTCCCAAATAGATAGATTTGTAACCTTAAACGTTGTATTTTCTATTCATCATGATCTACTTTTTTTTTGCTGCTATACTTTTACTTGAACGAACCTCCTTATTATTTCTAATTTCTACAGACCTTATTTAATAAATGTATGAAACAAGAATAATTTGATTTCTGGCAAGTGGCTGATTATTTTACAATGAATGCTATTTAATACATCACCTGCATTATTATTCTGACTTTTCATTTAATAACCAGAAATAGACTACAGGAAGTCACTTCAAGTTTGTTTATAAAATGTACAGACTTGTTTCAGAACAGGTTTATGAATAGATTATGATCCACTGCTATTCTTGCTCTAAAATGTACCTGCCATAGGGAAAAATTAGTCCTGTAGATGTTCCTATGCTCAGCAGGAAAGCTTGCCAGAGGGCTCATGTGAAAATGGCTGTCTCAATGTGTGTGAGAGGCAACTGGGAAGTTCTGATCTGATTCCCAAGTACCTGGTTGAGCTGTAGGGTTTTTAGGATAAGCAAGGGGTGTCTGCCAGGCAGGAAGTATTTTTCTTCTTAATTCTTCTTACTTCAATTTTTAAAGACAGAGGTTAATTATGAAATAATGAATATTAAATATAAAGGAATTTTTTTCCTGTTCAAATTTTACTTATTTGATTTTTTTTCTAAATTTAAAATCCATATTCATTTAAACTGAAGTTACCAAGTTCTTCTGGAGCTTAATGTTTTAAGTCCTTGGTTTAGTTAAAATGAGCAGATAATCTCTCTTGTACATCATGAAAATAGGATTTCATTGTGTGTTACTGTCCTATTTTCCTTACACCCCACTAACCCCCAAAATACAATAAGTGGTGCAGTCTTCTTGCTGCCTTCAGTAGGAAATGATAAATCCATCAGAGAGAGAAGCACGAGGCTGCCCACAAACCGAGGTTCTGTTGGTACATGGAGCACTTGAGCAGTTTGCTTGGATTAATCTGTACCTATTTTAAGTGGCTGGTGGGAAAAAGAGCTCGGTTTTGGGAGGATCAAAATATCTAAATTATGGTAGTTTGGGTTGATTTTATTCTAAATGTTTCCATAGCCCTCTGACCTAGGAGTAAAAACAAAAGATGATTCAGCTGTTGCTGTGTCCTTATATAAGCTGATGGCCTGGAAGTTAATCCATTTGCTGCTGTCAAGCCTTTTCTTTCATAAAAACAAATCTAAACAATGTTTAAAATTAATAGATTAGAAAAGTTATATTTGGAAACTATGGGATTCTGTAAAGATTTTTTGTTTTTATGTACATTTTTCAGCCTGTAGTGACAAAAGTGGCTAGTGATCTCTATCTCCAAATTCTTATGTCCTAGTGGGTAACTCTTTAGAAGTGTAGAGCCGTCACCTGAACTTAAAAGAGAGAGTTTAGGCAACAACTTGTCAGTTCAGAAAAATCAGGGTTTATATAATCTAATAATAGTATTATTAGATGATATCAAATAACAAGCATTCCTGAATTTGTTCACACATAAAACTTGTTCTTTAAGCTAAAGGAAGAATACCTTTTTGAAGGTGGTTGGTAAACATATTTTATATTTACAGAAAATCCCCAAAACAAACAAACAAAAAGATAAACAAATCCAAGATTCACACATGATCAGTTGTTTTATTTTCAAAGTTACTGGCATGTAAATTCAATTCCAATTACTAAAGACAGTTCAGATTAACTTTCAGAAGACCAGTCACAACATGGCTGAAAAGTAAAAAGAAATTCTACAAACATGAAATTAATTTGTTGTAAATGCAATGATGAATTCTAGTAGATTAAATATTCAAATTGCTTGTACTTTCTCCATATAATGATAACTTATGTTTTATCTAAATAGATTGTGGTGTGTTTGTTTTGTGTTTGGTTTTTTTTTTTGTGCTTATTGGAAAATTGTGTGTGATTTTTGTAGGAATAGATTTTTTTTCCTTGGCATTGATGATGCCATTTTTGCATCCTTGAGTAAAATGTACTGCAAACCCAGGTGATTAGGTCCAACTTTGGATAATGCAGCATACCTGCTTCTCCCTGCCCCAGAGGTATATTGGATAAATTTATATTGCTCTTTAATTTTTGAAACAAAAAGATCATTTACTTTCAAAAGACTGAAAGGTTTATTAAAATCAAGATGCTTGATAAAGTCTTCCAGATTCAGCTGTTGATTGTTTTTCCACTTTAGGATATGTTAAATCATAAATCCTTTCACAATTGCAGTAAACAAATGTAAACAAAATTTAAATTTGGTTGAAAATGCCTAAGCCTTGTAAATCCATGCCACTTTTGTTTGTAATGATGTAGCTAAATCATTTAGATTGCACATTTGGTGAAGACTGTAACTTTGGAGAAAGACCAGAGCAGATTTCTTTCCACAGTCTCTTCTGACTTTTGTTGACACCATTCTTGGGAGTAAAACTTGGGAGTAAAAGTTGTCAGATTTGAATGATTTTGTGCTTGTGTGAAGTCTTTTGTCCCCCCAGTGCCAAGTGTTACAGTCTGTCTATACTCTAGTTTGGAGATTTTGAGTCTTTTTAGTTGCTTTAAATATGCTGATAGAGAGGAGACTGTTGGACAGTATTGACTGAAATTCTGGCTAGCAGGGTCCTGAAGAATGTCCTTTCTTTGTTTGAACACCACCTTCTCCAGTGGCTTATCCTGTGGATGTCACAGCTTGTTTCCACACCTCTTTCCAGTGTGGGGTGGCATTCTTTTCCTGTGTGCAGAGCAAGAATGAAAAGGTTTATCTCTGAGAATCAAGAGCATGAATTTGGGCAAGGAGTGGCTTGTTTCCTCCTCAGTACAGGAGCGAGGTGTCTGGTTCTCTGCATGTGATGGCCAGAAGCTGCTGTGTGGTGCACTCACCTACAGTATTTGATCAACAACCTGTAAAGTCTGTGACTAGTAACTTCAATAAGCAAAGCTACAAGCAGAACAAAACCCTATACAGTGTTGGTAGAGGCAAGTCATTATTATTGTTGCTACTTGCTTACAAGGCATACTTTTATAAATTGTTCTGAATATATGATCAAATTTTTGTCACCTTTAACTAGCAAATTTAATTTAGTCATGTTTTGTGTACAGGGAGATTACACCCAGGCAAACTGGTTTAGATTCTTGGTAGACTTTTATGTAACATTGAATCTTGTCTCACAGCTTTAAAATCCAAATGTTTTTAAAATTCTGGCATTTCAACCAGTGTCTCATGCAGCGCAATAACTGATGCAGTGACAGTTTGTTTTACATGGTTGGCTAAAAAAGCAGAGAATAAGAGAGAAAAAGTGCTAGCATGGCACTAGGGATAGAGTTTATATGAAGTAGGATAATGCTTAAGAATGGGGGAAACGGGAAATTTTTTTGCTCTGTAGGAGTGCTTCTAATGCATTGTTTTTCCTGTCACATGCCTGCGCTGCTCTTTCTGCCTCATGCATGCCATCATAGGCCTAACTGCAGCTGTCACACAATTTAAATGCATTTACACAAAATAAAATGCATGACAGCTTAGCTAAACAAGCACAATTGAAGTCATGTTGTAAATAAGGAAGCCAATTGTTTACAGTAACCTCACTGGCCAAATCAGTGATTTCTGAAGTAATGCTTACTTTCATTCATTCATGGTGTTGTGAATCAAGTGGAAGGGCTGCAACCAAGTCAAAAGAAGTCTTCTGTCTGTCAAATCTCTATTAAAACTTACAAAGCAAAGGATATTTTCTAAACAAATCTAACAAAAAATTTTATCATGACTGCATTATAAGCATGATATGTAAGTCTAGTGAAATTGTCTGCAGTAATTCTCTGGCAAAAAATATCCCAACCAAACAATTGCATTTTTGAGAAAATTATTACAATTTGGAATAACAGTTTCCTATGATTGTTTTAAAAAAGTGATTTATCAAAATAAATTTTCTGATGTTGCATTTGATTTTGTTTACCTGGATGTGGTAGAACAGTGTGGTGCTAGGCAACGTAAGATGTTTAAGTGTTGAAATCAGGAATTTCAAAAAACCAGTGAGGAAGGACCATGTGAATCAGGCCATCAGCTGTTTATCCCTGCAGAAATATTGTAACTTGGGGTTTGCTAGTTTTCTTAAAATTTGTTTAAAGCCTATTAGAACTATTCAAACCACACACTCATAATCTCAGTTTTATCATTCAGTTTTGGGAACTTTCTCT